CGATAAATCAATCCCCGAGTGCTCTCCCGTCGACTCCTGTACTCCACCACCACAAGAGGCACAGGTAGAGTCAACGGGGAAGCGGCAAAAGTCGACTCACCGCTGTGAAGACACCACGGTACGTCGATCTAAGTACATCGACTTCAGCTACCTTATTCACGTTGCTGAAGTTGCGTAACTTAGATCGATCCCCTGCCCCTAGTGTAGACCAGGGCTAAGATTTCATTTTTATAATATAGTGAGGTTCCTCTTTAAAGGGCCCAAAGGGTGGCTTTGTTAAAAAGAGGGTCCTATGAGATACAAACTAAGTGATTTTGAGTTGACTTAAGCTATGCCTTCACTGCAAAAAATTTTTTAAAAATACCTTTGCTCTTTTTAATCGAGATAGCTAACTCGAGTCAGCTCTCTCACTGCAGATCCTAGTGGAGACAAGGCAGAGGTAGTTTTTATCTCAAGATAACTACCCCAGATGAGGAGTAGAGGATTATACAGAAGAAACAGGAGTAGAAAATACTCCATGTGAGCGATGCACAGGAGTTAAGGTTGTACCTTAACATTTACATTGTCTGACTCTGGGTTAGTGTGATTTTAAAGCTAAGAATTTACAATCAATTTTACAAGCAGAAATGCATGTGAATAATTTGCACACACTCAATGAACAATTAGACATCTATGGTTACTTGGAAGGAAGAATAAAGAGTAGACGATGAGTCCTTCTGAGGGACAGACCATCCCTGGTGGGGGCTTAACTAAAAGAAAGAAACTTTCCAAGAATGCGGAGAGTGCCAGAGTGAGAATAATTTAAGACTGACTCACTGCTCTGTGCCCTTGGTAAGTGTCCCCATGTGAGCCAAAGTGGTGAGATAATTGATTAAGTAACAGGTGATGATCTTCATCTGAGTAGGGAAGGAAACAGACTTCTAGGGTGGAGGCTGGCACAACTGATTAAGAGAGCTTTAAACTAGGAATTTGGGGGAGATGGTTGGGAGATGTCCAGGTAATCTCCACGCCGGATTTTAGCATTGAGAGGGAAGAAAATGAAGTAAGAAAGGATACAGCCATGGGTAGGAGAATGTATATAAGGAGGAAGGGCAGTGTGGATACCAGTCGAATAGGTTATACTGGCTGTAGAATGACCGTGCCTAATAGGGTACAGAATGTGAGCGAGGCCAAACAGCAAAAATTAAGATGTTTGTACACCCATGCGAGGAGCCTAGGTAACAAAATGGAGGCACTAGAGCTACAGATGCAGGAAGTGAAACCAGATATTATAGGGATAACAGAAACATGGTGGAATAGTAGTCATGACTGGACTACAGGTATCAAAGGGTATGTGCTGTTTAGGAAAGACAGAAATAAAGGTAAAGGTGGTGGAGTAGCATTGTATGTCAATGATGAGGTAGAATGTAAAGAAATAAGAAGCGATGGAATGGATAAGACAGAGTCCGTCTGGGCAAAAATTACACTGGGGAAGAAAACTATCAGAGCTTCCCCTGGGCTAGTGCTTGGGGTGTGCTATAGACCGCCGGGATCTCATTTGGATATGGATAGAGCCCTTTTTAATGTTTTTAATAAAGTAAATACTAATGGAAACTGCATGATCATGGGAGGCTTTAACTTCCCAGATATAGACTGGAGGACGAGTGCTAGTAATAATAATAGGGCTCAGATTTTCCTAGATGTGATAGCTGATAGATTCCTTCATCAAGTAGTTGCTGAACCGACTAGAGGGGATGCCATTTTAGACTTGGTTTTTGTGAGTAGTGAGGACCTCATAGAAGAAATGGTTGTAGGGGATAATCTTGGTTCAAGTGATCATGAGCTAATTCAGTTCAAACTGAACGGAAGGATTAACAAAAATAAATCTGCAACTAGGGTTTTTGATTTCAAAAGGGTTGACTTTCAAAAATTAAGGAAATTAGTTAGGGAAGTGGATTGGACTGAAGAATTTATGGATCTAGGCCTGGGATTACTTTAAATCAAAGCTGCAGAAGCTATCGGAAGCCTGCATCCCAAGAAAGGGGAACAAATTCATAGGCAGGAGTTGTAGACCAAGCTGGATGAGCAAGCATCTCAGAGAGGTGATTAAGAAAAAGCAGAAAGCCTACAGGGAGTGGAAGATGGAAGGGATCAGCAAGGAAAGCTACCTTATTGAGGTCAGAACATGTAGGGATAAAGTGAGACAGGCTAAAAGTCAAGTAGAGTTGGACCTTGCAAAGAGAATTAAAACCAATAGTAAAAGGTTCTATAGCCATATAAATAAGAAAAAAACAAAGAAAGAAGAAGTGGGACCGCTAAACACTGAGGATGGAGTGGAGGTCAAGGATAATCTAGGTATAGCCCAATATCTAAACACACACTTTGCCTCAGTCTTGAATAAGGCTAAAGAGGATCTTAGAGATAATGGTAGCATGACAAATGGGAATGAGGATATGGAGGTAGATATTACCATATCTGAGGTCGAAGCGAAACTCAAACAGCTTAATGGGACTAAATCAGGGGGCCCAGATAATCTTCATCCAAGAATATTAAAGAAATTGGCACCCAAAATTGCAAGCCCATTAGCAAGAATTTTTAACGAATCTGTAAACTAGGGGTTGTACTGTACGATTGGAGAATTGCTGACATAGTTCCCATTTTTAAGAAAGGGAAAAAAAGTGATCTGGGTAACTACAGGCCTGTTAGTTTGACATCTGTAGTATGCAAGGTCTTGGAAAAATTTTGAAGGAGAAAGTAGTTAAGGACATTGAAGTCAATGGTAAATGGGAAAAAATACAACATGGTTTTACAAAAGGTAGATCGTGCCAAACCAATCTGATCTCCTTCTTTGAGAAAGTAACAGATTTTTTAGACAAAAGAAAGGAGTGGATCTAATTTACCTAGATTTCAGTAAGGCGTTTGATACGGTGCCACATGGGGAATTATTAGTTAAATTGGAAAAGATGGGGATCAATATGAAAATTGAAAGGTGGATAAGGAATTGGTTAAAGGGGAGACTACAATGGGTCCTACTAAAAGGTGAACTGTCAGGCTGTAGGGAGGTTACCGGTGGAGTTCCTCAGGGATCAGTTTTGGGACCAATCTTATTTAATCTTTTTATTACTGACCTCGGCACAAAAAGTGGGAGTGTGCTAATAAAGTTTGCGGATGATACAAAGCTGGGAGGTATTGCCAATTTAGAGAAGGACCGGGATATCATACAGGAGGATCTGGATGACCTTGTAAACTGGAGTAACAGTAACAGGATGAAATTTAATAGTGAGAAGTGTAAGTGTAAGGTAGCATTTAGGGATTAATAACAAGAATTTTAGTTATAAGCTGGGGACACATCAATTAGAAGTAACGGAGGAGAAGGACCTTGGAATATTGGTTGATCATAGGATTACTATGAGCCGTCAATGTGATATGGCCGTGAAAAAAGCTAATTCCAGTAGAGATAAGGAGGTTTTAGTACCATTATACAAGGCACTGGTGAGACCTCACCTGGAATACTGTGTGCAGTTCTGGTCTCCCATGTTTAAGAAGGATGAATTCAAACTGGAACAGGTACAGAGAAGGGCTGCTAGGATGATCCGAGGAATGGAAAACTTGTCTTAGGAAAGGAGACTCAAGGAGCTTGTCTTGTTTAGCCTAACTAAAAGAAGGTTGAGGGGAGATACGATTGCTCTCTATTAATATATCAGAGGGATAAATACCAGAGAGGGAGAGGAATTATTTAAGCTCAGTACCAATGTGAACACAAGAACAAATGGATATAAACTGGTCATTGGGAAGTTTAGACTTGAAATGAGACGAAGGTTTCTAACCATCAGAAGAGTGAAGTTTTGGAATAGCCTTCCAAGGGAAGCAGTGGGGGCAAAAGATCTATCTGGCTTTAAGATTAAACTCGGTAAGTTTATGGAGGAGACGGTATGATGGGATAACATGGTTTTGGTAATTAATTGATCTTTAAATATTCATGGTAAATAGGCCTAATGGCCTGTGATGGGATGTTAGCTGGGGTGGGATCTGAGTTACGTAGGAAAGAATTTTCTGTAGTATCTGGCAGGTGAATCTTGCCCATATGCTCAGGGTTTAGCTGATCGCCATATTTGGGATTGGGAAGGAATTTTCCTCCAGGGCAGATTGGAAGAGGCCCTGGAGGTTTTTCGCCTTCCTCTGTAGCATGGGGCACGGGTCACTTGCTGGAGGATTCTCTGCTCCTTGAAGTCTTTAAACTACGATTTGAGGACTTCAATAGCACAGATATAGGTGTGAGGTTTTTTTTTGTAGGAGTGGTGGGTGAAATTCTGTGGCCTGCATTGTGCAGGAGGTCAGACTAGATGATCAGAATGGTCCCTTCTGACCTTAGTATCTATGACTCTATGAATCTAAGTGGACTCAGCTCGTCAGCTGAGGATGGTTAAAAGGGAGACAGGAAGAGATAAGAGAGGGGTAGGCTGATAGGGAAGCCCAGAGAAGCTCAGGATCTCAGGGAGATGAGAGCTCTCCCACCTTCTCCTCTGGGTCTGGAAGAAGGTAAAAGCCACAGGCTGTGGGGAACAAGCCCTTGTTTAGCATGTTGTAAATAAAACACATGGTGTTGAACTTACTACTGGAGCACGTGAGGATTGTGTGCCACATGGAGTGCAGTGTGAGGTAGCCCTGCCCTCTGACAAGGCCTTGTAGGGTGACCAGATGTCCCAATTTTATAGGGACAGTCCTGATTTGGGGGTCTTTTTCTTATATAGGCTCCTATCACCCCCCATCCTCTGAACTGATTTTTCACATTTGCTGTCTGGTCACCCTAGGGAGTTGGAAGTTTTCTTGGTAGATCCATAACCCGATTCGCCCTTACCTACCTCTGCATGTGCATGAATATTTCACATCTGACTCTGAAGCCTGGGCTCATGATGCTTGCACTGAATCTCAAGCGTAAGCTTTCATTTTGGTTATAGGACTGAACAGAACAGTGAGAACAGAACTGGTGTCTCCCCGAAAATCTTCTCTCTGAGGCTTACCTAATGGTGCCGGTCTGGTGCTCTTAGGTGATGCTCGCTTGGGGGAGGACTCAGGATGCGGGGCGACAGGTTGTACCGGCCGAGTCTGCTTGGCTGCCAGCTTCTTCAAACTCACTTGCCTCTTGTCAAACATTTCTTGCACGTCTTCTAATTTTTGTAGAACTTTTTGGGCATTGGCCTGTAGGCAGAACAGATGTGGAGCAGATGTCATTCACAGATAGACAGAACACTGGGATGGGATCCTTGCACCCCAACCTCAGAACAACAGCATTAGGCGGTAGCACACCCTGCATTCGGTCTTAGAATAGTGCAGCAGCTGCTCTCTGCAGGCACTGTACTCCCACTGAGCACCTCCCTCTACACACTCCCTGACACAGGCTTTGGGGTGCTACCCCAAAGGGACTCCTTGTGTGATTAAGGACTACTCGTATGAGGAAAGGCCATTGCCCCAAGTGTCCACATTTGTGAATAGTTTGCTATCATAGATCTCCTTTTGCATTTCCATCTGAACTGAAGCCATGAGAGAATATGTGAAGTGTGTACTTTGAAATTCACTGCTGGTTTGTAGGAAGTTTAAATGGGCAGTGTAAAAATTCAACAAGCGTTACCTTTATTTCAGGGGTTAGAATCATGTCGAACTGGTTGTAGAATTCCTTAGGGTTAGACAACTGGTGTTCCTTAGCGGTTCCCAGGAATTTCTCTATGTCACACAGCGCAGTTTCGGCTCCCTCTTGTGATTGGCACTTGTCCACAGCTTGAGACGCTAAGAGGTAGATTCCAGCTTCACACCATTGCCTGGCCTTTAGAAGAAAACAGAGCTATTAGGACTTTGCAATAATGGCACAGTCTGAGGCTTCAATGCTGCTGCTTCTTGCCCACTATTTGAACAGAAATAACACTCTTCAATACCACCAACATGCCCATGTTGGTACAACAGCGTCAAGGCTGTGAGCAGTTCTCAAGATGCACTGTGCATTAAAAACAAGGCACCACAGTAAATTCTATGGGGCCAAATATGACCCAGGGTAACCCCACTGACTCAGCACTGTGCTTCAATGAAGTTGCATGCCAGCACAGAATTGGACTCACTGTATTGAATTTAAACAAAAGCAAGAAAGTCTAGTGTCTGTCATTCTATCATTAATCCACTTTGTTGTGCCTACTCACTGGAGGGGTCTCAGGACAGTTCCTTCAGCAATCCACCTTCACAACGGGCTAGGCAGAGGATAAATTGACACTCAACTCTGATTCCCTCCTTACCGGCTTTAAAATATTGCACTATTGATGATGACTTCATTTTAAAAAATAATTGAATGGCCTTCCATTTTTGTAAACAGCAGAACAACGTTAAAAAATAGATTCTTTTTCAGCTAGCTACCCCAAAACATGTCTGCGATACTGTCAACATAGCCAGATGTCTCCTGTCACAAAACCAACATCCTATCTTTACTGCTGCAAAAACACTAAGTTATTGTGCAAAAGAAAAGAAACTGCCTGGGGGCTTAAGTCGTGCACTAAGTTGCAAGCCAAATTGATTTTAAAGTGAAAGAGTCAAATGTTTGCATTATAAACTCGCTGTTTCAAGACAACAGCTAAACCTTCACAGGCTAACTGCACCGTTCCTTGAGACATCAGATTGTGTCCTGTAACTCTGAGTAGCTATACTGTACTCTGTGTTATTTGAAAAATACCCTGAAGCAATTAGACATACTCTTCTGTCCGATGAGTCACTGGCAGCTGAAACAACAAGGAGTCCGGTGGCACCTTAAAGACTAACAGATTAGTTTGTTAGTCTTTAAGGTGCCACCGAACTTCTTGTTGTTTTTGTAGATACAGACTAACACGGCTACCCCCTGATACTGGGAGTTGAGAAAGCAGGGCATGAGGGAAGATCCAACCCACAGCTTGTATGTAAAGTAGGACAGAGGATAGCTATTTTTTCTTGATAGTGATTTATGCTAATAGAGTAAATAGCTGATATAGTAGGTAGACTCTGCTGGCTGAGGGGTTTCCATTCACTTAGAACAAGTCATCCATGAAACAACAGATTGGATTTGACAAGCACAGTGTTTAATTGCCCGAAGCACTTCAGTTCCAAGGGATACTCCCACTCTGCAGGGCACATGCCTATGGCCGCACATGCAGTGAGGCCCCAGCGCCTTCTTGTGCTTGGCACTTTTCCAGGGTGCATCTTGGCTTGCCACCCACATGTGTAATTGGCTAAGGCATGGTAGGAGCTAAGTGCACTGAGCAGGAGGCAGTGACTTGGATAAGTTCCCAGCTTTTCCTCCGGAATCTCTTTCTGAATGAAGCCTAGATCTTCTTTTTCTGCATTCCCAATCACCAATAGCAATTTGTCCCATTAATAATCAGTAAATAATTTGCACATATACCTTTCACTTGCAGGCCTCAAAGCCCTTTAGAAAGGCAGATAAGTACAGGACCCCAAAGTCACACAGGGGCAGACCTGGAAATAGAAGCTAGGTGTCCTGTCACCCAGCACTGTAATCAGTCCATCTGACCACAGCTGTCCTCATCAAATGGAAACAGGATATCCTTAAGTATATTAACTGTGCCCTGTACCTGAGTCCAGATCTGCAAACAATCTCTACATTTACAGATCCATCCTGTGAGGTGCTGATCACATCCTGTGACATGCTGAGTACCCTCACCTCCCATCATATTATAGATGTAAAGAGCAGCCCGCCACAATTCACTGTCACACCCCACTGACTTCAATGAGGTTGTTGGCCCAATATAGGAACTAAGAATAATCTGGCCAGATAGTAAGGGTGGTACAGTAGTTGCTTCAAATCTCCCTTGGCACTAGCACAAGATAGAGTAAATGGATTCGTAAGGGAGGCCAGAGGGTTTCATTAGTGCCGTCTCACTTTGTTTAACATTCAGTTCAGATAAGTACCTATGAGTCCAGATAGATAACTGAACCTTATCTGAACTCCCCAAACCTGTTGGGTCTGTAAAGCTGGGCTAGGAATCTCACAAATGGGTTTTCTGGTAATTCTTGCCTCAAATCCGGCTGAAAATACCACAAGACCAGTCACTTTCTCGTGGCATTTGAGCATTTCTGCTTCCCATCCCAGCCAGGTCATGGAAGTGTAGAGAAGCTTGAAAACAAAAGAATGTAACAAGCAGTGAACTGATCATTGGCAAGCCCCAACTGAGGCTTGGTCCATGTTTTAGGTTTAGCTGACTTCTTATTTTACCTCAAGCCCTAGTTTTAACGCTCCTAACTGTATAATTCAGGGAAACCACTGTTCTCTTTTATGCTACCCATTCTCTCTCTCCTTTCTGAGGCGGATACCACGACTGGTTTCCCGCAGCTGTGACTAGTAGCTGATTGGGGGAAATGGTGAACATGCTTTTCTCTAACCCCAAATATGTGATCCCTTAACCCGTTATTTTTTCATGGAGCATTACTAGTGCTTTCCTGTAGGAAGACTTGCTCACCTTGTCTAACTGCTTATGCAGCTCAAGGGACTTTCCCAAAATATCGTATTTCTTCTTGGTCTCATTGGTAAAGTCATCACAGATACGCCTGAGTTCAACACACTTTGGCCTAATGGAGTCGACTGCATAATGGTTGTTTTGGATGAGCTGGTCTCCATGCAGAGCTAGTGCCTGGGCCTTTTCCAAAGGTTCCTGCACAATTAACAAGAAGAAATGAAAAACCATCACACCCTAAAGGATGAGCCTAGTCTAGATGACTCCTCTATAATTTCTGATGAAGCCTAGAGCTGCAGGTTGGTTCATTAAATAATTTGCACATATACCTTTCACCTGCAGGCCTCAAAGCCCTTCACAAAGACAGATAAGTACAGGACCCTAAAATCACACAGGGGCAGAGCTGGAAATAGAAGCCAGGTGTCCTGTCATCCAGCATAATCATTCTTTTGGCTGACACCTTGTATTGTTTCACACCTGCCTTGAAGACTGACTTCATGATCTGTGAGGCTGGCTTATTTCCGTTGCCTTGCAGATGTGTAGCTGACTCTGTAGGCTAAATCCAGAAGTCAGTCTAAGGGACTCTCAGTTGGCGTAATTTATGCCATAGGCACCGACTTTCTAATGTGCCAGGAGATGCTCCTCGGCCCCGCCCTGCCTTTTCCCACCCCCACTCCACCCCTGCCCTGCCTCTTACCACCCCCACTCCACCCTCTCCCCAAGCACACCCCACCCTCGCTCCTCCCCCCCAGCACCCCCTGCACGCTACCAGAACAGCTGACTGCAGTGGGCGGGAGGCGCTGGGGCGAGGGGGAGGTGCTGATCGGCAGGGCCGCCAGCGGGCGGGTGGTGCTGGGGGGAGGGGGAGGTGCTGATGGGGGGGGCTGCCAGTGGGTGCTAAACACCCACCATTTTTTTTTCCGTGAGTGCTCCAGCCCTGGATTTAGGTCTTCTTCTCCCTCCTCACTGTGTACATTACACCAATTCAGACTCAATGGGCTATGCTCAGAGGTGATGTTTAAGAGGTGCAAATTGTACATCAGTATGTGTGGTATAATAAATTGCACATTGAGGAGAGTGGGAAGAAGGTGCAAGCTATGCCAGTTTGGACTCATTTACTTCCACGGCAGAACCGGGAAGAAAATCCAAGTCTACTGGATCTCAGCTGCACGCTTTAGACACAAATCATCTTGTGCTTTTGCAGCTGTTCATGTGAATTTGATGTTATTTAACTGATTCATTTGTTTGATGTTTCCTAATGACGGCAAACCTACTGATCATCACAGCTGACTGATGGAGTTATAAAGCCAAAAGATCTGGAAAAGAAAGGTTGTTTAATGCATGCTGAATCCCTTGCTGGAAATAGCTGCTCAGACAATACTGACTTCTAGTAAAACAACATTGAAAGATGTCTAACTGGAGACTCTTTCAAATTTTGCTCACCCTGTGCTTTCAAGGTCCAAGAGATCAACCCGAACCAAGACCCCAGATCCAAACCTTCCTGAGCTTTATCAGTGTTTGAATTCCAAAAGCAGATTTTGCAAGTGGCCCCTATATTTATCATGGACCAAATCAAACTGCCAGATCTGAATACCCTAGGAGGTTGGAGTAGTCGACATCTGGATCCAAACTTTAAAAGGCTGAGCTCATGCCCATTTGTAAACATACCTACTCAATAGTATGTAACTGCAGTTTCTGGTGGTGTCGCACAGAACAGTAAGTGTGGTGTGTGGACAAAGTTCTACAAGTGACTAACAGTAGCAATCTACAATAACTGAAACATGAAGTCCAGTAAAGTGCAAACCTGTCCTTTCTCTTCCAGTTGTTTCCGTTCCTTTAGGAGGTGCTCCACTCGAGTCACACTGTCTCCAATATCCGTGAAACCAGCTTGCGCTTCCATCAGATTATCCAGTTCCAGTTTTACCTACAAGAAACACAAATAGCCTCATATTATAACATCCACAGCCTCCTAGGACTTTATGGCGGTCACCATGCTGCACGCCATGGGCACTCCGAACTTCATGGTGATAGCAGTGATAGAACTCAATCCTCCTGCTCCACAAGCACCAGCCCCTGTAAGGGAGAAAATTCACGAGTTGCTAGCAGGGCTGCCCTTAGGATTTATGGGGCCCTATCCAGTATTATTATTAAACTGGTGCCCTTCTGACCGATGGCAGCCCGGGCTCGCATGTGTATATTAGATAAGGGTGGTCTTTTGAAGGATTTATTTAAAAAACTCTATGTCTGAAGATCCAAGCATTTAAGGCTAAAGATGAATACTCAGATTGTGCATCTAAAAATCTACGCAAGGAATTTTTAGAGATGTGATTTTATAATCTTCAGAAATCTTCACACTAATGAAATATTTTTAAAGCAAATTTTAAACTAAGGTCCTGTAGACTAACACGTTCTGAGTAAATATTACAGTAATGCACAACTGGTTTTGTCAGTAAATTCAGAAACTGAGGGCTTGTCTACACTGCGAAGTTGTCGACAAAACTTTTGTCTTTCACGGGTACTTAAAAAAGCCCCCCAGCAAAAGACAAAAGTTTTGCCGATGCAAGTGGCAGTGTGAACGCAGCTTTGTCAGCAGGAGCGTGACAAAGCTAACGCCGCTCGTGGGGCTGGAAGTATTTTGTTGGCAAAAGTGCCAACAAAGTACCGAAAAAAGTGTTGACACAACCTTGTCGCTAAAACCTGCGTGGTGTAGACAAGCCCTGACAGTATATACCTGGGAGTTGGCAAATGCCTGTTTAAATGGCTTCGTTACCACTTTAATGGCTCTTTAACAATTTAAATGTTGTGCTAACAGGTCTGGTAGGCAAGAAGGCTTTTTCACTTTAAAAAAAAAACAGTAGGTGAACACTTCAACCTCTCTGACCACTCAGTAAAAGACTTAAGAGTGGCAATTTTGCAACAGAAAAGCTTCAAAAACAGACTCCAAGGAGAAACTGCTGAGCTTGAATTAATATGCAAATTAGATACCATTAACTTGGGTTTGAATAGAGACTGGGAGTGGCTGGGTCATTACACATATTGAATCTATTTCCCTATGTTAAGTATCCTCACACCTTCTTGTCAACTGTCTAAATGGGCCATCTTGATTACAAAAGTTTTTTTCTCCTGCTGATAATAGCTCATCTTAACTAATTAGCCTCTCACAGTTTGTATGGCAATTTCCAACTTATCTGTATGTATATATATTCCTTCTTACTATATGTTCCATTCTATGTATCCGATGAAGTGAGCTGTAGCCCACGAAAGCTTATGCTCTAATAAATTTGTTAGGCTCTAAGGTGCCACAAGTACTCCTGTTCTTTTCACTTTTAAGTACTAGATCCCCTCCGGAGGAAGACTCACCAGACTGCAGCAGCCAGCCGTGCTGGGAGCCTGCAGGAAGGGTCAAATTAGAACAGGGATAGGAAGAGGCAGGACGGTGTACACTAAGACCCAGGGGTGCCTCAAATTTTCAGGTGCCCCGCGCAGCTGCCTATGCTTAAGGATGGCCCTGGTTGTTAGCAGTCCAGGGCCTATGATAAAAAGAAACTAAGCAATTCTTAGTCCTTCCAGTAGAGGATGGTGGGAGACACACTACCCAGTTGGCTGTGCAGCATTACCGTGTTACTCAATCATTTAGTGAATACGTACGAGCACCCTATAAGGATGGAGCAGCTTCCCCTTGAGACTTGCTTAGTACTTGGCTTCTAATGGCTTAGCCAGATCAAAACGCTCTTTTGGATCTCCTGGTGGAGCTTCTTGCTCATTCCTTCCCCCCCCCAGCATTTTTTAATCAAAATACAATTTTGACAGAAGTTTTCTTGCCCGCTCTGTACACACACACTCGGTCCAATCTGTGGCTGAAGGTCTCTGGTAACTGACGACGTCCACCCTGGACTATGGCCAACATTTGGCAGAGATAGATCGAACCTAAAATCGATCGGGTATTTCAAAGGATTATTGGGGTCTTTAATGAACCTACTCCGATAATTTTCAGTGTGCTTATGTAGCAGGGGAGTTTGGCAGGCTTTTGCTGAACTGGGATCTGAAGCCCCTCTTTCAGTGCACCAGATTAATGAGTGGCTTGGATTCAATGGTAAAAGTCACATACGATGAACAGGCAAACATAGTCTACTCCCATCTGTACCTGCTAGAGATGCTTGCATCCTTCCCTGGACTGACTCTTCTTCCCATACTAGCATCTGTTTCTCAGATAGTCTTCCTCCCCACACATCTATCCCATCTGCCAAGGCATTCTTTTTGCTCCCTTGTCTGGGCTCTGGTCCTCCACCTAATACTGAGCCTTTGAGCTACTTTCTAAATGGAAAAGCTGCTCTACGCCATGGCAGAGGAGTGCAACCGGCTATGCACAACACAGTCCACCTGCCATTCTGTTCTTGTTGCCTTACTGAGTTGGGGCCACTCAAATTTAAGGGCATGGAACCTAAGCATTCTGCATTAATCCACCTCTAGTTGTACAATTAAGGCCTTACTCAAAGCCTATTGAAGTCCACAGAAAGAATTCTATGGATTTCAATGGGCTTTGGATCAGCTCCTTATCAAACATCAATTCCTTCAAGATGCTAATACTTTGCATGAGGCTACCCAATAATTCTACCAAGAAGTGTATCGTTCTAATTCTTCCTTTCTTACTGTGGCTTATTGAGATACCATGTGACATTTGATAACTGGTTGGAGTTTCATTTTAGAATATGTGGTTCCTATTTCATTATGAAGATGTCTTTTTTTGATGAACAATATACACTGATTAGAATAGCTATCTGGAAACGTTTGAGATGATTTACCAGAAAAGAAAGTCTATATTTAAGAAATAAGTAAAATACCTCTCTGAAATCATGTTCAAAGTGTCGGAGCTGCAGGCACTGTTCCAGTTTTAGGTGATGTTTGGACCAAAATTGATCAAAAGCCTTTTCTGTTTCATCCAACTGAGCCAATAACCTGTTAAGAAATTAATTGGAGAGTGAAAATCACTTGATATTTATGAGTGCGTTGTTGTTTAGTGAGCTAGTTATGCAGCGAAGGTGAAATTCAGCCAGGTGTTTAGGGATTACAGAAGGTGTCTTCAAAGCAGAGCAGACAGACAGGGAGAGGTTGGGGACTCTTCACCACACATATGAGGTAGAGCTGGGCTTCACGCTGATTCTGGAGAAGCAATGTGGAACGGAGTTTCGCAGTGGGCTAGAGGAGGAGGAGGAGACCAATGAGTCTGTGACTACATGGATTCAGTGGCCATAAACCCTTACAGAGGGGATGCACAGGGGCTGCAGTCCCCTCTTGCTGGGCTGGAGTAGCAACTGCAGAGCTGTTCCATGCACAGCGTGTGGGCTTGGGGGTGAATTCTCTCTCCCTCCTAGTTTCCACTTAGTTCTTCAACAAAGTTAATTTATTCCACCTTTGTGCAAAGTGTGTAAATTTCACTCATTCACTTAAAGAATGTTTAAAGTAGGCACCTATAGCTTGTCATTCCAGACTCGTCCATCAAGTCCGATATCTTACCTGTGGCAGTGAACTATTCCTAGGGCAAGTACTATAGGTTAACATAGTTGGTCAGCTGTGCAATGCTGTAGGAGGGGAGCGGTGTGAAAAACTTCCTTCCTCTGATACAATCAACTGATGCTCTACACATGCAATTTGCCCCCTGTTTTAGTATGAAACTTTGACTAGTACTAATGTGCTCTGCTTATATATTATTGTTCTTTTGGCTTTTGCATCAAGTGCCTGTAATTTCCAAAGGTTGGTTGTTGACCACACTAACAACTTGAGAGGTGAGCAGAAGTCAATTGAAAATTCCCTAACCATCTTTTGCCCACAGCCCAGCATAAACCAGTTGTTTAAAGGTCACACTAAAGGAGACTTCAAACAATAGTCCCTGACACTGAGGTAGAACAGCTACAAACCAAGGTACAAAGAGCTTATACAGAGCAATTGGCAAGTCAGCAAGCAAGTCAGCAGGTGTTTTGACAGAAGCTTCAGTGGGAACCAAGATTTGTCCCTATGTATTTAATGTAACCGGAAGGATAAACTGAAAAGCAAGGAAACAAGTTCTATGCACTGTTCTACCCAGTCTCAGAAGGAATGCTGGATATATTTCCCATAGGCACAGTTTGACTCTGTTATGGCTCGCTCTCTCAGAACACAATCCCTTAGCTGCAGAAAAACCTAGGCATAACTGGCATTTCACAGCACTTGCTAGTTTCCAGTGCTATCCCAGACAACACTGCTTCACCCCAATTGAGACAAGCCGAAGTGTCTGCATGATGTTTAGTGCTTCACTTCCACTGCAGCACGGTGTGTATTACAAGCTGCTGCACAGTGACTGTCAGCTCCGTGACACTAAACCGAGACCTTTGTGGGGAACAGGGAGGACATATCCATCTTGACTGAAGCTGTGGATGAGGCGCATTGCAGATTCTTCCATACCCCTTGTGATGTTGTATTGAAGGGAAGGTGACCATCTACACTAATATGGTCACTGCTGTTGCAAAATTGTGGTAAATCTTAGACAAAGTATGCCTTGTAAGGTATCACTGGAAAAGCTGTAATCTGCTAAGTATTATTATCCTGTTTAGATGTGTGTATCATCATTGTACGTGACGTTATGAAACTTGGCTGCGTGTTTGTAACTCAAACTTGTCGCGAGTCTGGGAAACACCCCCAGGTTAGCCCTTCAGAAACAACAAAAGGAGCTGCGAATGTGAGCCTCTGCATGTCGTTTCAGAGTCTACAGCCTCAGCAGTACATAGCACGCAAAAGGTGCAAACAAAATTTGCAATTCATATGAAGAACTGGTGGCCCAGCACGTACATCATGTAGTTGCTTAACTCTGTAACGCAGTCAGGATTTTCCAGGAGAGGGGTCAACATATAAAAGACAAGAACAAAAGGTGCCCCGCTAGATCTTTCCCCCCACATCTCTGGACTGATGAACTTTGACAAATTTTTGAACAAAGGATTGAGGTCCCCCATACTATTTGGGCAAATCCAGAGATATAAAAATCAATCAGATATAACATCCCTGTTAGCATTTTGGATTTACAAGCTTGAATTCAACTGTAATGTAACTCACCCACTTTAAACCTCTGCTTAACTCTCATTTCTTTTCTTAGCTAATAAACTTGACTTAGTTACTGAAGTAATTGGCTGGCAGTGTTGTCTTTGGTGACATCCTGAGCATCTGGTGACCTGGGGTGTGTGACCGATCCTTTGGGATTGGAAGAACCTAATGTGTGGTGATTTTTGGTTTTAATAATCTGTCACCACAGAAGTCCAGTTTATCTGGGTGATAATATAGGATGGAGTGCCTAAGGGGACTGCCGGTGTATTCCTGGTGAACTAGTATAGTAGTCCAGAAACACACGATTGTTGCTGGCTTGTGTGGCAGAGTGCTGACCTTGTCCCTGTGGGTCCCGCGCTTTCAGGCAGTTTATGCTAGCTTCAGAGGCTCACTGCAACCCTCCATGTAGCCCTTCTCTCTCTAAGGCCAGGGATGCAGTCTACTGAGCCATTTTCATCATAAGCCAGCAATGGAGGTTGGTGAGAGAACTCCCACAGTCTCTGTTACTTCTACGGCCTCATGCAAAACAGTTTAGCCTCCTGTCCTGACAGGGGCCTGTCTTCCCCTCCCAGAAGGTGTTTCTGTAGTGGTGGGTTGGGGGGAACCCGGGCCCGCCTTCTACTCCGGGTCCTGGCCCAGGGACCCTAATGGTAGCAGCTCTTGGCAGCCAACCTTTTACTGCCAGAGTTGCTACATTTCCCTGGGCCACTTCCCCACAGCTCTCCTGCTTCTCCTTTCTTCACCCTTACCTTAGGGCTCCCTTACCAATGACTTGAGGGTGTCTTCATTAACCAGCCCTTCAGCCACACTTCCGGTCCCCTGGCTCCCCTCTGCCTGACTGGAGTGAGGCCTTTTATATTATCAGAGGGGCCTTAATTAGAGTCAGGTGGTCACATTAGCTTAATGGCCTCACCTGACTCTTTGCAGGTTAATTGGAGTCAGGTGTTCTCATTAGCGTGGAGCAGACCCTGCTCTGGTCAGTCAGGGAACAGAAAACGATTAATCCGGTGGCCAGTATATCTGCCTTCTGCTACTCTGCTGTACCCAACTGGCCTGGGTCTATCACACTTGGTTAAAGCTAATTATAGAATATACCACCAGTTTGGGAGCATCTGCCCAGTTTGGACAGTCTGACCGGAGATGGCTCTCTCAGCCGAGACCCGTTCCAGACACCGGTGACATCCCTGTTTAAGGGGAGCTCCTCTATCCACTGAACACTCCCACCAACACACACATACACATTCTGTTTGAACATGTATGCAGGAATGCACCACTCCCACCTGGATTAGGAGAGTGTGTGCGTGGGTGGGAGGGAGGGGGAGAGAAAGACTGCACATCAAGTCTTGGGCCTTGTAGTCAATAACCTCACCAAACAGGACAGAGGAGGCTCAAGGTTTCTTTGAACTGCCCTGTTAGTTTCACCAGTTAATGGCTCCTACCTAGACCTTCCTCACACCAAACATGCAGTAGCATATTTCTATAAACTCACTGTGAATTAATGATTAAAAAAACAATTACCTATAAATAATTATTCAAATTATTCAAATTGAATTCAAATTCAAATTAGGATTCAAATCACATTTGCATGTTTCAGGTCAGTTAGCAACCTGGAGGATGTAATCCCAATTCACCAACCTTTCCACCGTCGCTACATTTTCGAGCTCGTCTGGACTGAGTTTGCTGGCGGAGCTCCGCGTGACTGGCTCTCTAATACACGTCAGTAGTGTGGCCCCCTGCTTCACAGCTAGTTTCAGCTCATCCTGGAGAGAGACAGGCAAACACACACACACACACACACCAGTTCAAATAAGGTTTTACCAAATCCCAGGTTAAGTCGTTATTTTTCTCTCTCAAAGGAGAAGCACTGCCATTACCAGTGAAGGGTATTTTTGTAGGGACTGAACACTGGAACACAGCAGGGGCGCTTGACAAGAAGGCTGCATTTAGTGACCTGCCTAGAATCGAAGAGATACAGCCTGACATGAGCAGTGACAACAATGATTTTGGTGTCTCTTGAGGGACAGAATAATTCTAGAATTTTCTGGGTTTGTGACTGGTCAAAATTCTCCTTCCGTCATAGAGTTTAAGGCCAGAAGGGCCCGCTACATCATCTCGTCTGCCCTCCTATATATCACAGGGCACTAACACCGCTCAGCACCCACACACTAACCCCAACCATCAGAATTAGACCGGAGTATTGCAGACCACGGAAGACTAGATTATTCTGTGCCATAGGCAGAGACTAGGTGGGATTTAGGTGCACCAGTGCTCAAGACCCCCACAATGGCTGGAAAATGATTAAATGAGATATACCCGGATAATCCTGGCAAGTGACCCATGCTGCAGAGAAAGGTGGAACCCCTCCCCGCCTCCCAAGATCACTGCCAATCTGTCCTGGGGGAAAATTCCTTCCTAACCTCACATATGGCAACCATCAGATTAGTTACGATTGCTAACCTTGCCCATCTATAATCTGTTGTTATCCCCAGTAATCAACAGGTGTTACCTTCCTTTACCCAAATTCTTTTGCCCATTTATAAACAGTTAAGTAGCTAAAAAATACCAAGAATGGACTCTCAGTAATTTTGGAAATCAAACCCTGGTCTCAATTTACCAAAAAAAGGGCCCTACCACAAGTGGGCCCACTTACAAAAATGTAATCTCTGTTAAAAATTTTCCACAAAATGCATAAAAATATAACAGAGATAAACCAGTTTATCATTTGGGTTCGGCCATTTCTGTTGTTTTGTTTAACATTTTCTCTTCCTTTCTTCAATAATAAAATAGGTATGGTTAATAAGTGCAGTTATTATGCTTGGCTTTGATCGTGGTGTTCCCCAAGGTAAGTGAAAAAACCCTACCACTAAAATAGAAGTCACAACACAAAGTTGGCTGTAAAAAAGGAAACAATCAGTAAGAGCTGCCCTTCTGTTTCTAAACTAAATATTTTTAGTAATTCTGAAAATATAATTTCTTGGCATCCAACTGAAAATGACCCCTTTCGGACTTGTAGTTTAGACAGTTTACAGGGCCGGAAAATGTCACCATTGAGATGTCCCAGCACACAATGGAACTCTGCTGAACAGCATAGCAAGAAAATCCTCCAAATATTAATGATTAAACCTGTTGAACTGGAGATATTTATGATTCATTGGGAGGTGAACTATCTGCTTCAATTACCTTTGGAAATAACCAAACAATCATCCATTTTCTGACATAGCAGTAAAACATATCTGAGAAGTTTTCAAAATAAATCACTTTTAAAATGTATAGTATGTACCTTCTAAAAATGAAACCTACATCTATCTCTGAGTTGTGAAGAATATGTATTAAGGTTCTAACAACCAACAAGAATTCACTTTTATGTAGAAATCCATGATTACATCGAGTCTTCCTGACTAGTGATTTAAATCAAATCCACCTTGAGCACTGCCCTAACCTCACAGGGGGTCTGTGAGGATAAACACATTAAAGATTGTGAGGCGCTCAGGTACTGTGGTAATGGAGGGCAGATAAGTACCCAAGGTGGATGGTAAATAGAGGCACTAAGTGAGCAGTTGTTTAAAGTTTGTTTTGACCAGAGATTAAAAGGAGGTTGATTCGGTATCACTGGTGGCCTTGTGCCTGTGGCTGTGGCTTGGTTTGAATGATAGCATGCTCCTTTTGTGTGGGATGGCACGGTAAGGAACAAGAGCTCTGAAATGCATTTTAAAGTCTTGTGAGGATTTCCGTGAAATAGCCTTTGCTACTTTTGCATACGTTTTTGTCTCACTGGGCTTCATTCTCACTCTCGGGCTGCACAAAGGAAAGTCGCCTTCATTTTAAATCGTTGGAGGTGACAGAAGTTGTATTCAATGCTAACTGAACAGAGCAGGAGGGAGCTGATGCAATAGCTATTTGAGAACACTAGAGGGAGCTCAGGGAAGGAGTCCAGGAAGAGGGAATAGCAAGATGGCAGAGAGCTGCTTCATCTATTTTTGTGAATTAATAAAAATTCAATTTTGTATTAGTGCTTCCCTCCTTCAGACAAAATTTTAATAATAGATCTTCCTCCTCCGGTTATGTGTATGAATTAGTTTCGTTGACGCAATCTGCCTCCGCTTTCTGCAACAAAGCTCCTGAGACACTGAGTTACCTTACTTGGCATGCTCCCGTCTTTAATTACCCTCAGAATAAGGGTCCGATCCAAATCCCACTGAAATCAGTGGAAGTCCTTCCATTGACTTCACTGGGCTGTGAATCAGGCCCTGTGCTTTCACTGGGGTTGCCCCCTTTCTAATGGCTGGGGACTGGACCCTCGAGGCCCCACCCCTGCCCTGCCTCTTCCTCCAAGGCTCCACCCCCTTCTCCGCCTCTTCCCCCAAAGTCCCGCCCCGGCACACCGCGAGTCGCACAAGCAGCCTGGCCCTGGAGATGGCAGTGGCAGCTGCTGCGCAGCCTCCTTCTTTCTGCTTAGGGTTGCCACCTTTTCCACAGATTAAAAAAAAAAACAGCCAAACATCAGGGCTTGTCCAATGGCACCCGGACACACCAGCCAAAACCCAGACTGTCCGGGTGAAAACCAGATGGGTGGCAACCTGAGCGTTCATCAGTCTATTCCATGCTAACTTCACGACTGATTTCAGAATGCTGAACTTCCAAGGCTGCCAAGAGGAAGGCAATGCAATTCAGCAGAGGGCCCTCACTTCAGTTCGCTCAAACAGCTATTTAGCATCCTTCTAGTACAGTTACCTCTGCCAGAGCCATCTCAACAGCACACTGACTAATTAAGGTCTGCTCCTGCTTCTGCAGAAATCAATGGCCAAGCTCCCACTGATTTCAGTGGAGCACCGCCTGGCCCTAGTACGCCACTGTTGTGTCCCAGAAAAAGGACAGAATAGATCCAAGTGAAAAAGAACGATATCCAGTCCCCTAATTTCAACCATTCCTATTAACTAATTTCTGTCTGTTCAATGCTTTGAAAAGCTAAAGCGCTGTCTAAATCTACATGCCATTATGAGCCCTTAAACAAACATGCAAGGGAAGGACAAAGAAAAACTGTGGAAAATATAGAGGAGTGAATTCGGTGGCAGGAGTGGCGTCAGGGAGAGAGACTCCTGTTAATCCTATTCTATCAGGAACACTGCTTTGAAGTCAGCTGCATCTGCCCAAGATCCTATCAGAATCTCCTGAAAGGTTTGGTACTGGCAGTCCAGTGGATGCAGCTGCAAAACCCAAAAGCACACAATGGACCTGTCCAACAGCTGAAAAATCCACTCAGAATGCAAGAGCTGAAATGCAGCGAGAGAATGATTCTGTTCAACTCCACGGAGAGAAAGGATCTCACTGAATTTTAAGGCAACCCCCAACCACACGTGTGGCCTGGAATACAGGGATTTAGGTTCCCGAGAATTCCCACCAGCAAGTGGACTTCATGGCTTGCCGTAAGAGTGCAAAAACACGGTTTGCAATAACAGCCACACTCCTGTTGTTTTAACTTTTGTGCATTGATGCGCAGGGAGGGTGTTTCAACCCTTATTGATGCAACTCTGGCAACCATTCAGAAACATTCAAGTGCCATCCAATTCCCAATCAGCGTTGCCCAGCTAAACGTCAGGCTCAGCAGAGATGCAGCACAAACATTCACAGCTGCAACCTGCACTCGTCTGCGCTGAAAACTCTTGTTCAGTGTACAATAGAACAAGAATAATTAGTAATATTCTACACTTACGTATACATGTTGTAAATCTAAAGATCACGCACCCATTACAAAGCCTCTGTGTGCATTCACAGCTTAGATCCCCTCAACATGCAGAGGCTTCAAGGATCCCAAAGCACTTTACAAACTATGGATCAGATCATACCATGCGCTGAGAGTCATCATTGCACGCTGAAGTCAATGGGTGTTGAAGACACATGGGATTGTGTCCTTTATACACATAGCCCCACTGATATGCAGCTACCTAGGGGATAGGACAGCAGCTGGTATACTTCATCTTAGAAGGGAGAAGGGATGTTTTGGGCCCAAGATACCAGGGAGAAAACCCTATTCTTAAAAAATCTACCATGGGATTTTTAGGGTATGTTTACACTGCAGTGTAAGCCCAGGAGTTGAACTCAGGCTCAAGCCTAGCCCCCCTGACATCCACCCATAAATCGCTCTAACACAAGGCTCAGACCCAGGGTCCCAGGACCCTACATGGGTGGAGGATCTGAGCCTCAGTCAAGCTGGAACCCTGGGTTCAAGTCCTATTGCTTTGCAGTGTAGACACAGCCCCCCCTGGACTCACGCTCTGGGAGTCCACCAAAAGCATCCCACAATCCCACAGGTCGACCTTCTTTGTCCTCTGGACAGTCAAGTTTTCCCACACTGCACCACGAACTAAGGGCTAGAGTGGCCACATTTGGGGAGGAATTCTGGGATACGGGTGGTTGGACTCGGGCTGCATAATGTACTGTAGATGCTGGAACCCGAGGCTGGAACCCAGGGTTCAACAATTTCTAATCTGGGGTTACAAATGAGTGTAGCTGCTCAAGCCCTAGGTTAACAAACCCAAGGTCTGCTAATCTGAGTTCCAACAACGTTGGGCATATATTGTACTATAGACATACCTTTTGTATGAGTACACACAGCAAACAAGACCTTGTTTTTTAAGTTTTCTTCTGGAACACACACACTCTGAAGAAGGTAGGAGGGCTCAGATGACATTGCCAGGATGTGACTGTGTGTTTTGAGGGGCCTCATCTGTATCAGCCTTTTGGGGGGAACTCTCCGCCTCTGGCACTAACCCTGGTGTTAATAACAATGGCAGTGCTGGAGTAGAGAAGCACTAGTACTTTCTACCTCCACATCATCTACACCTGCTCTGAGCTGCCAGGTTTCCTGAAAGAAGCTAGCATAGCCAGGGAGCGTAGGTATTTCACACCCGAGCCTTAGACCACTCCGCCATAACGTGGTTAGTGAGATTGCTAATGCCAGGTTCTGCCGTCTGAAAGGAACGAGGCAAAACCGACTTTTAGAGCCAATCTACAGCACAAGGTAAAACTCGTACCCACTCTGCCTCCAAACAACACAGGAAAAGCCAGTTCTCTACCAGGCAACCCCAAAAAGTCAGGACTCTTGTTCTAGCTCATCTATTGGCCAGCCTCTAGCATTAATTTAATGCCAGCTTCTGTAGCTTCCTAAAGTGCGTTAGGTAATTACTAGTTATGTGGCAAGTGGAAAAAAAAAATGACACTTTATTTTTCACTCCTCCCTGGAGCAAGCCAAAGCTGAATCAATGCAGAGAGCAAACCTGCTCTTGGGAAATCCTACATTGCACCAAGTGGCAAGGCTGTCACGCAGCATTACTCACCTTCAGCTTGTCGTGGTGCTGTGTGTGGGAGGAGAGGAGTTCCTCTGTGCACTGCACATCGTTGGGAAGCTCAGTCTCTGCCAGGTTCGTTCCAAAGGTCTGTAGCATCTGTGCTGTCGTTTTCACCGTCATGGCAAAGTTCTCAATGGCCTGGAAAGGCAGCAGCATTATACAGCGTCACAAGCTGGTTATTTCACAGTTCAACAGTATTTCTTAGTGTATGGTACCATGCTTTGAAGCGGTGAATGTGACATACTGGTAAAGGGTGTCACGTCTCCCCCTAGTGCAGGGGTTCTCAAACTGTGGGTCTGGACCCCATTTTAATGGGGTTGCCAAGGCTGGTGTTGGCCATGGGCCGCAGCAAGTCTGTAGCCAAAGTGAAAGCTCCACCACTCAGGCCTGAAGCTAAAGCCAAAGGCCCACCACCCAGGCTAAGGTTACATGCCCCCCACCCAGGGCAGACGCCCTTGGGCTTCAGCTTTGGCCCCCCGGCCCATGGAGGAGCTCAGGCAGTGGGGCTCAGGTGGCCTCGGTCTTTGGTCCCCCCTCCTGGGGTCGTGTAGTAATTTTTGTTGTCAGAAGGGGGTCACGGTGCAATGAAGTTTGAGAACCGCTGCTCTAGTGGATGGTCCACTATGGGATAACAGGTTAATACTGCTACTAGCTAATGGAGTTAGTCCTTTAGCTCAAGCTGTAGAGTTCGGTGCTGTGGTGCTGAAGATCCCAGGTGCAAGTCCTGCTGACAAGCCAGGCAGCGCATCATTATATGGGGTAGATCAACAATTACAATCACCTCCATTTCCCCGCTGGAGAAATTCCCAGAGCTAATGTGACTTGCCCAAAGCCACAGGGGGTCGGTGTGGGAGCCAAGATTAGAATTTAAAGAATTCTGGCTCACAGTCCTGTGTGAAGCTCACTGGAATATTCTGCAATGTTGAAAGCATTTATGTAAGGCCTTGTCTAGGCTGAGAGGACACTGAAGAACTCAGCAAAGCTTTTTCCAGTTAATGTTTTTATAGTCAGATTCCCACTGAGGAAGAATATCTGTCTACATCTCACGTATTAGGATGTACAAATCCAGAATGCCCATCTGTATTTGAAGCAATATTCCACAGTCATCCCCTTCCATTCCTTTGCCCGTATTGCAATGGTCCCCAAACTTTTCATGATCACGCCCCCCCCTTACCTCGTCCAGGCCCACCCACAGCTGGGACCGGAAGCAGGGCTGTGGCTCCTGGGCGAGGAGGGACATGGACAGGGGCAACCAGGCTGAGGCTGGGGCCACAGCTGAGGGCGGATCTACAGCTGGGAGCAGAGCTGTGGCCGGGGGCAGGGCTGGGGCTGGGAACAGAAGCCATCACCTGGGCCATGCCTGGGGGTGGGGTTGAGGCCCTGGCCGGGAGTGGAGCTGCAGATGAAGGCGGAGAGGGACTAGCTGATGCTCCCTCTCTACCTGCCCTTAGGGGCTAGCCTGGGCCCTGCAGCACGCCCTGAATGTTCCTCCATGCCCCCCTAGGGGAGCGTGTCCCACAGTTTGGGGACCACTGCCATATCATTATTGAAAACTTAACACAACTTTGAGTATTGTTGCCTCTCCATCCCTTGAATGCTTCTACATAACTATTTCTCACAACCAAATTGAGACGGATCAATTTTTATTTTTTAATTTTTCTTTTTAAGATGAAAGTGAGAGTTATGAAGGCTATGGAAAGAAGCATGCGAACCCTTCAAACCGCTCACTCCCATACTAGTTTTTCAGGGTGAAATCTTTGATCAAACTCATCTACTGTGACAAAAAGCTTTTTATCTTGCATCAAGTAGCTGCATGAGATTTTTTTCTTCATGTTACAAGAGCCCTGCCCTACTTTATTTAGGCACATGCAGAGATTGCATTCCTTATAGCTGCTAGCGATTGTTTTCTCTGTCCCAAATGTTTACACTTGGACCAAGCTAACTGCAACTGTGCTCAGGAAGTTGTCAAGGCCAGTTATGCAATGCATAGGTGGTGGTTGCTCGCTTGATTGCTGTGAGATTCCCCGTTCTGGTGAAGGGTGAAATTCTAGATTAACAACTCTGCTAGCGGCATGCTATGTGCTCAGTGTAAAACAAATACTGGGAGACTGCTACAAACAGGGCAGAGAAAAATTTTAACCAATAAACCCTGCCCCCCCCAACACCCCCGACACAGTTTCTATACCACATACACACCCAGCTTAGCATCTTCTGTCCGTAATGCACAATGCAAACTTTCCTTTAGCTAATTTGTTTTTAAACTGAATGATGTTGCAATTTGTGACCGTTTGCAAAGCCCACAAATAATCCACGTTTCACTCTCTCCTGAAGGGAGAGCAACTTCTGGTCTTTCGTAAAGGTATCTCTTCAGCACAGTTGAGACTCGGGGCCTGTTTCACTTCTTACTTAGGGTGAAATCCTGGTCCCACTGATAGGTTTCAGAGTAGCAGCCGTGTTAGTCTGTGTTCGCAAAAAGAAAAGGAGTACTTGTGGCACTTAGAGACTAACCAATTTATGTGAACATAAGCTTTTGTGAGCTACAGCTCACTTCATCGGATGCATTCAGTGGAAAATACAGTGGGGAGATTTATATCCATAGAGAACATGAAACAATGGGTGTTACCATATACACTGTAACGAGAGTGATCACTTAAGATGAGCTATTACCAGCAGGAGAGCGGGGGGTGGGGTGTGGGGGGGAGAGGGGAAACTGTTGTAGTGATAATCAAGGTGGGCCATTTCCAGCAGTTGACAAGAACGTCTGAGGAAAACTATTTCAACCCCCCCCCCCCGCCATTGTTCCTCAGATGTTCTTGTCAACTGCTGGAAATGGCCCACCTTGATTATCACTACAAAAGGTCCCCCCCACCCGCTCTTCTGCTGGTAATAGCTCACCTTAAGCGATCGCTCTCATTACAGTGTGTACGGTAACACCCACTATTTCATGTTCTCTGTGTATATAAATCTCCCCACTGTATTTTCCACTGAATGCATCCGATGAAGTGAGCTGTAGCTCACGAAAGCTTATGCTCAAATAAATTTGTTAGTCTCTAAGGTGCCACAAGTCCTCCTTGGTCCCACTGATGTCAGTGATAAAACTCCCATCGACGTCAATGGGGGCAGGAGGATCTCATTCTTACACTGGTGCATAGGCGGTGACACCAGGGCTATTAAATTGGGGGGTATTAAAAATAGTGGGTGCTGAGCACCCACCATCAGCCCTCCCGATTCAGCTCCTCCCCCTCCCACCCAGCGCCTCCTGCCCACTGTGGATCAGCTGTTCAGCGGTGTGCAAGAGGCGCTGTGGGGGAGGGGGCATAACAGGGCAGAGCAGAGGCAGGGCGGGGGATTGAGGGAAGGGGTGGAGTAGGGGCGGGGCCTGTGGTGGAGCGGGGGTCCAGCACCCCCCAGCAACTCATAAAGACGGCGCCTAGGCACTGGTGTAAGGCAGGAGTGACTCCAATGAAGTCAGTGAAGATACAAAGGTTGGGTGCCAGGATAACAACTTGTCTACACAAGGAAGTTATTCCAGAATAACTAGGATATGAATTTAAAGCACAGAATAGCTATTGCAGAATAGCTATTCTGGTCAATTTCCCCATGCAGACAAACCCATAAGAGAATGGAAAATCAGTCTGTATGGCTAGAAAACAAGATCATCATGACTTCAAGGGGAGGGGGAAAAGCTCAGCTTCATAAGGGCAGTAAAATGCACACCATGATATTAAAGTCACATGGGAATTTAGCAAACCAAGTACCTTTTCTCAGTATGGAGGTGTGACACAGAGGTCCCCTGGTGGTTCACTACTCGGTCAGCAACTCTTTGCAGGCCTGACATGCTCACTACACCTAACACAACATTGTCATGATATTTATCCAAAAGGTGGCATCACTGGAAAACTCATAACTCAACGATTATTAACATTCTTATGTGATGTACGTATGGCAAATCCACAAAGGACTTGTTATGCTGGAAAGATGGGACCAAAATGTGCTTAAACCAACCATGTCCAGAAGAGTTGATAATCAGTTTTTCTCCAGAGGAAGGAAAGAGGCCAACACCTCAAGCCAGGTGTGGCCAAATTCAGTGGGCTATTCATTTGTGTGAGTTGCAGGAACAGATCATTTGCACTGTAAAAATCACCACTTTGGGGGACTAGACAGCATGGAGTCTACACCAGACAGCGTGGGGACCTCACACAACAGGGAAAAGGAGCCTTGTCTTGGCTACCTTTTCACAGACTACATTTCAAAGGTTTACTGGACTATAAAAAGAAAGGGGAGAGAAACCCACAGTTATCCATTACTGGGCAAATACAAGAGGCCAGAGCTCTTGTACATCTGAGAAAAGGAGATCCTTCAACCCAGGGGGTTGAAGTCTCTGGGAACTGAATATAGGTGAGAAAGCTGCTTAGGTAAAGACTATAACTGGCTGAAATTAAGTTCCAGTCACAGAAGTGGGTTTTTTACCCATGAAAGTTTATGTCCAAATAAATCTGTTAGTCTTTAAGGTGCCACTGGACTCCTCGTTGTTTTTGTGATACAGACTAACACGGCTACCCCTCTGATACTTAGTCACAGAAGTGTATTTTTGCTTTTGTTTGTAACCATTTCTCTCTTTATCCCTTGTACCTGAACTCACTTTTTTTAACTGAATAAACTTGTTTTATGTTTTATCTAAACCAAGCAAGTGCTTTGACTGCACTGAAGTGATTATTAAAGCCAGTCAAGATAACAAGCTGCAGTGTCTGTCTCTTTAAAGGAGAAGCAAATGTAATTGCTTCTGCACGTGTCCCAGGAGAGAGCTGGACACTGCAGGGAGACAGATTTGGAGAAATTCAGGACTGGGGGGAGTGTTGGAGTCACTCTTCAAACAGTAACTGGGCTGTGGAAGCCAGGGTGTGATCTGTATGCTTGTCTGCTGGCTGTTGGTGTCTAGGTTGTGAGCCACAGCTGCAGAGCAGTGAAGGCACCTAGAGCTGCAGGGCAAGCAGTGACACAATCCTTTACTGGTCTGGGCTGAGCCCCAGAATGTCACAGCAGGGGACATGAAAGTCCCATAAAAAAGCAAGAACCATGAACAGCTGGAAGTCACTCTGTGTGAGAAAATCATGCCCTTCGCTGTGTGGTTTGTCATAAGGAAATAGCCAGAAATATTCTGAGACATTTCTTCTGAGAGTTTTAAGCCTGCGTTGGTGGTCAATTACAGAGTTTGGCCAAAACCAGCCACTCAGCTCAGAACACTTCCCGTCATAGGGTTTAGTTCCACACATCCCCAAAGGTCCCAATCCTACAAGCAGATCTGCCCAGATGGACCTCGGCACTGCTCACAGCCCCAGTGAAATCAATCCCTTTCCAGATCAGGGCCCAACTTTGCATTTTGCTCCTTTCTGCATAAGAAGATGAATAAACACCTTTGGTCTTAACAGTCCGGAATTTGAGATAAGGTCTTTGCAGCTGCCATCCTTTCCAAGACAATAACTTATTCGTATGTATGGATGATTAGCCATTGAAATACATTAATCAACCCAAGAGGGGGGATTAAACATCTAAGCAAGTAACAAGTTCTTTCAGGGTCAATAGAAAGAAAAGTCTTTCTTTGTGCCTTCCAGTTCCAATTATTACTGCCATACTGTTCTTTGGTTATCGAAGAAATGAGACCCACTCTGTCATGCATTTTTACATAGTGAAGAAATGAAAACAAAGGAAAATATACTCCTGGGGGAATTCTGCGTCATTGCACATGCACAGAATTCATGGCCTCCACAGATTTCTTTGCTTCCCTGCAGAAAAATGACTTATGATGGGGAAGTAAAGGGAAGCTGCAAGAACGGTCATGCGCCCCTCCCCAGCAGTGCAGGCAGATCGGTTTGGGCACCCAGAGCAGCTCGTGGAGACATAAATCACCACCGGAGTGGGGGGGCTGGGCAGTCATGTATGTGAGAGAGAGAGAGAGAAAGAGAGACTCTGTCCGTCTCGCTCACTACTGCGGTATGCTTAGCGTGGAGGGGCAGGGCTTTGGGGTGTTTCTGAGGAGGTAGGTGTGGGCCAGGCTCTGTCCCCTCAGGCAGAGCAGAATGTAGCAGCCTGCCTGCTTAGTGAATTGTTCCCATTGTTCTTAGTGAATTCCCCCAGGAGTATAAAACAGGTGTAAAACATCTAAGGCTCCTTTACATTGTCAGAGTGGTGTAAAGGAGCCTTATTGTAAAGGACAGTATGGTCTTATAAATGCTTATGGTGCTTTAGCGATTAGAACTGGTCTACATTTTTGGACTGAAAATAATTCCTATCAAAATGTGCTCCATGAACTGTTTGCTACTGACCTCTCTGGAGATGGTCAGTAGCCAATATAAATTGTGAGTTTGAGTCCCCAGCCCTTGCTTGCTCTTCAGTTGCCGATGATGTAACACTGAGCATATGGCTGCATATATTTGTTGACTAATAACTAGAAGTAAAGAGGCAATACTAGCTACATTACTATTAGACAAAGGGGATTTGGGGATTTCCTCCAATGCTCCCCTCTCTCCATCCATTGTACTGTAGGTTTAAATAAATTACCAAAATAATTGAAAGCAGCGTGATTATATTGCATTATTTTAACAAATAAAATATGCAGAATTTTAAAATATTGTGCGCAGAATTTTTAATTTTTTTATTCTGAATTTTTAATTTTGGCACAGAATTCCCCCAGGAGTAAAAATAAAATCCAGTGGCTTCAGTGCTTTTTTCCTCACAAACACAGGAATATTTGATTCTCATTAAAGTGAGGTTCTTAGGCTCTGACTCAGCAAAGCACTTAAGTACATGCTTAACGTTAACCATGTGCTGCAGTCTCATTGCTTTGCTGCATAGAGATGCTGTATTGAATTGGGGTCCTACTACAGAGAAGCATTTGGATGTAAGCTTCACAGACCAGTCTTTCCAAGCCCCTACAAGATTTTGGGATGGTCTTTTCTCCCTCCATTGTGTAGTGGATTTGGGTGAATAGATTCCATTAAGCTCTAATAAAAGTCACAGGCCTAACTTTAACTGGAGAATCATCCGTTAATATTTAAGTAGAAATCATCACCTGGAGACTTCAGGATGCAGAATGGAATGAATACAAGACACAATACTCACAGTTCGATGGTGTATCCATTGACTGTGGCCATATTCCAGGGTTCCCCCTAACTCCCGGGTTAGCTGACTTTTGTCAATATAGCCATGTAGATCAGAAACAGAATTTAACATGATGATCTGCAATGATGAATCCAAACACAATGTATTAATTAAGAGAGATAACACTGCAGTTTAGATCCTTCCTCCTAGGTTCCCTATTCAGCTTATATGTGTATGGCCAAATTCCATGCTGACTTCGACCCTGGGCAGTTTCAACAAAACCAATAATTTGTCATTATTTATAATATACATTTGCACTTTCATCTGAGCACCCCTGTGATATATAGATAAATATTATTTATTTTACAGACAGGGAAATCAAGGGACGGGGAGGTCATACAAGTATGCCAAGGGGTGTGCTGAGACTAGACCCCGAAGGTCTGATTCTCCTCTCATTTACACCAAATTTACACCACTGTAACTCCACTAAGTTCAGTGAAGTTACTGCTCATATATCCTGGTGTCATAAGTCCTGATTCTTATTTCCCTGCTCTAACCCTTACATGAGCTACCTTCCCAGCAAACCTGAAAAACTAGAACTGCATAATGAAATAAAGGCAGATTTGTATTAAGCTTCAGATTCATGGATTTCATAGACTTCAAGGCCAGAAGGGACCACTGTGATCACTTAGTCTGACCTCCTATAAAACACAGCCCACAGAACTTCCCCCACAATAATTCCCATGACATATCTTTAAGAACATAGGCCATAAAGCGCAAACTTTACACTGGGTGCAGGCTGAGTTTCATACAGCAGGTTGAGAAAGACAGTTTCCTTTACCTTAGCCAATAAAGCATAATCAGCCACAGGTCAGAAACGCATTCAAATGCAAATGAAGGCTAATCAGTAGAGGCGGGCTTTGGCATGGAGAGAAGCACTTAAGAAAGGTAACAGATTAAGGACTGTGGAAACTGAAGTCCACAATGTGTCAATAAAGTTTCTCCTCCGTGTCCCTGTCCCAGCACGCTGCCACATGGACAGAGCATCTGGGCAGAGAGTAACTCAGTCTTCCTTCACATTTGATTCTTGGCTTCTCTGCTAATGTTGCTAACAGGACTCAAGGCCACTAGGAACTCAAGTAAGACCTTCTGGTTGTAGGCCTACAAACTGCCAGCAGCTAGCAAAGTCAGCCAGTCACTATGGTACCAGCCTGGTCCAAATTCAGACCATAGACTCCATAAAAATCTCTGAAAAATCTCCATAACCCATTTCTAATCCTGTGAACCAACCAGTCCCCTGGCAATCCTTTATTTGACACTTTTACACCTATTGGTAGTTATGCCCTTAAAACCCTCAGATGATGGATAATGTTATTTGGATAAGCCAATTAGAATGGACTCATTCAGCAAATCCTCAGTCATTAATTTTGGCAGAGTGTTTATTTCAGGCCAGTGGACCTGACCACTCAGAGCAGAAAGGGAACTGGAACGTCAAAGACCATTTTTATTGCTACAGGCTGGAGGGAAACAGGTAGTGGGAGTGGCCACTGGGTATAAATGTCCCTTTCAGAAATTGATATGTTAGACTCCTATAGAACATTCCATCTAAGGATCTGAAAGTGGGTTACAAACGTTAATGGATCTGCACAATGGCCTTATGAGGTAGGTAGCTAGCTAGTAGGTATCATTATTACTCCTATTTTACAGAGAGATTTGGTGGCTGATTTTCAGGCATCCTGATTGCCCACAACTCCATCTGAAGTCAATGGGAGATGCTCAGCATCGCTGAAGGTCATGTTCTAAATGACTCACACTGTAAAGAACTGGGAATGGAACTCAAGTCTCCTGACTCCCAGGCTTCTGTGTTAACAAAGGAAGTATGACGTAGGGATTAAAAAAGCACAGGAGTGGGAAACTGGAGTTCTGGGTTTTATCCCTGCCACTGATCTGCTGTGAGACCTTGGGCAAGTCACTTAACCCCTCTGTGCTTCTGTTTCCCAAGCTATACAGTGGAGATAACAAGAGCATGCTCAGGGCATGATCCTGAAATTGACTCACTGTGGATGGACGCTTGCACTTGTTTGGAGATAAATGCAGGATCATGGCCTCAGGAACTCTGTTAACTGGCACTTTATACATTCAATAGATTAGATTAGATTAGATTAGATGCTTCAAACAGGTTGTAAGGTTTTATTCACCAATCTTTGAGTGTTTTGGGATCCTCAGGCTCCTGGACCCTTGTCATAAATATAAAGGGATGGGTAAACACCTTTAAAATCCCTCCTGGCCAGAGGAAAAGCCCTTTCACCTGTAAAGGGTTAAGAAGCTAGGATAAACTCGCTGGCACCTGACCAAAATGACCAATGAGGAGACAAGATATTTTCAAAGCAGGAGGGGGGCAGAAACAAAGGCTCTCTCTGTCTGTGTGATGCTTTTGCCAGGAACAGAAAAGGAATGGAGTCTTAGAACTTAGTAAAAAGAAAAGGAGTACTTGTGGCACCTTAGAGACTAACCAGTTTATTTGAGCATAAGCTTTCGTGAGCTACAGCTCACTTTATGCGTTAGATTCTGTTCTGTTTAAATGGCTGATAAAATAGCTGTGCTGAATGGAATGTATATTCCTGTTTTTGTGTCTTTTTGTAACTTAAGGTTTTGCCTAGAGGGATTCTCTATGTTTTGAATCTGATTACCCTGTAAGGTATTTACCATCCTGATTTTACAGAGGTGATTCTTTTACTTTTTTTCTTCAATTAAAATTCTTCTTTTAAGAACCTGATTGCTTTTTCATTGTTTTTAAGATCCAAGGGTTTGGGTCTGTGTTCACCTATGCAAATTGGTGAGGATTTTTATCAAGCCTTCCCCAGGAAAGGGGGTGCAGGGTTTGGGGAGGATATTGGGGGGAAAGACGTTTCCAAGCGGGCTCTTTCCCGGTTATATATCTGTTAAGACGCTTGGTGGTAGCAGCAAAATAAGTCCAAGGGCAAAAGGTAAAATAGTTTGTACCTTGGGGAAGTTTTAACCTAAGCTGGTAAAAATAAACTTAGGGGGTTTTCATGCAGGTCCCCACATCTATACCCTAGAAGTTAGAGTGGGGAAGGAACCTTGACAACCCTGAACTCAAGGATCCTGCCATAGTCAACTTTGTGCATAGCGTGATGTCCTGGGATGTTTCACCCACCCAAATGAAACACATTAAAATGAAGCCACTGCATCTGATGAAGTGAGCTGTAGCTCATGAAAGCTTATGCTCAAATAAATTTGTTAGTCTCAAAGGTGCCATACGTACTCCTTTTCTTTTTACATTAAAAAGAGTAAAGTCAAAAGAAAAGCTATGCACAGAATGTTCATCCAGAGCCCCCTTTGTGATGTTGCAAGTCAGGAGGCTCACAGAGACTAGCTCAGTTTGGATTAGCATCAGCCTGGAGCATGAAGTCTGCGAGCTGATTGGGAACTGCAAGTCACTTTAGAAATGTCAGTCTGAACGGCTTTGCTGCAGAGTTCCCCCCTCCAGACTCCCGGCGGACTTGGTGACAGAGATCTGCTGCTCCAGTCTTCTACTGACATCACCATGGAACACTGGCATGTACTTTGAACGAGTGGGAAGGGTTTTAAAAACCTGATACACTTGTCACACTGAGCCAACAGCAAAGCTGTTAATGTAGCCAGGCAGAGTGCCAGCCCAGAGCCAGGTAAATCATGAGGTAGTGGGTCCTTGAAACTACAAGAGCAGGAGTGGGTGATACCAGTCAGCTCTGTGTTCTTGGGGAACCAGGGCACAGTATCTAGCCTGTCTGACTCATGAAAGACACCCCTCCCCCAGCCTCTGCTTGAACCAAAACCGATCAGAGAAAAGACTTGCAGAGAGCAGTGAAGGGCGGTGGGAGACACACCTAGATCCCTCCTGACAAGGGTGACAAGATTAAGGCAACTCCTCTAGCCTCATCTGCATCGAAGATGGGACAGGGAGACATCTCCATTAGCATACAGAAAAGAGAACAGAGATTCCAAGGCAGGAATGGCACTGAACTCTGGAACCAGAAAAGCAGGGAAGCACTGCATCCTAGGGGATCTCTGCTCCAGATGTTAATGAACCTACGCCTGCACACACCCAGCTCAGCAGTTATCAGACCAATTCTAGTAATAAATCCTTGATTGATATCCAAAATACTGAAGCAGCCTAATTGCATTGTGAGCTCCCTGGAAGAAACACCACCCATAGCTAGGAGCGATCAGCCCTTTTTGTCTAATCTAAAAAAAACCCTTGAGTCATCAGTTTACCCATAAACAGATCTAGTGTTCTCCCTTGAACCATTGTTGTTTCTGTACAAAAACCCCTATCTATGTTCAAGTAAGTGTTCTGATGCATGGATCCAACTCTGCATCAGTTCCACTGAGATTTCATCTTCTCCTGACTGATCGTGCTGGGGGCTCTGCCTGTCTCCAGCACTCAGGACTCTGAGCTACCACCATCACCTGGGAATCCTGACCAGTTCAAGCTTCAGAGAATGGGTGAGATGCCATCTCTCTCTCTCTCTCTCTCTCTGTTTTCTTTTCTACCTCAGGTATAACTTTCTAACCCTGACTTGTTTGATCAGGTATAGTTTTCTATATATGACTTTTGTAACCTTTAATAATGTAACTATTAAGTTGGTTTAGGCTCTCCTTGTGTGGTTATCACTATTATTCAATAAATAACTTTTATGGTTAAGCTGGTTGCTTCTCTCTCTCTTTCTCTCTCTCTCTCACTCTCTCTGAACTTTCTCTTTTGTGTTTTTAGCTTCCCCATTTACTCTGCAGCAATGCGTCTTTTACCTAAGTTAAAGATCCCTGTAGCACCCACAAATACTGTGGGGTTTGCTCATCAAGTGGGTTACTACTAGTACCATGGTGACGTGAAAGTGGGGATAGGTACATGCTGAACCTGGGACATACAAAAGTTGCAGCTTGGAAGTGCAGCTCAACCCAGTCAGCTGAGTCCAGGGCATATAAGGGGAGCAGCTTGAAAGTGCTGATTGGCCCGGTCTGCTCAGACTTGCTCTGTTAATATGTGTGTGTGCGCGTGCGTTCGTCTGGTTCTGGGGCTGGAGGAACCCAGCCCTGGGGAACCTAGGTCCTGCAGGGTAGCTCCATCGGGAGGG